GTTCTGTGGAAGGATCCATGAATGGAATGTCAATAGGTAAGGCTGAAACTGCATTCACACCAACGGCTTAGCCAGCGAGCAGTCTGGCCGTCTTGTGGACGGCCAAAAATTATTTAGGACGGCCACTTTTACCGTGACGGCTTGGACGGCTTGGCCTAGTCAGCCCGGCCTAGCCTAGTTGGGCCTGGTCTACTTTAGGAACTTCTTTATATTCTTCGAATCTATCAAATGTTGCATTAAACTAAAGCATATTTTGGACAACATATTTCATTTTTCTGGCTAAACCTCTGTTACAAATGAAGAATAGGTAGTCAAATAGAAAACAATAATTGATGGAGAAGGATAGTTGAGAAGGATATACTTACTTTGATTGAAGTTGACCAGAAGAAGGATGAAGAAGCACAAAGAAATGAAGTGAAATAAGATAAAGAAAATCAAAAAGTAAGAAAATCAGAAACTATTCTAAATCAATGTTTTAGCATTTTTACATATTACAATAATTACAATTATCAAACAAAATCATTAGAGACGTTCTTAGTTTATGAGTGAGATACTTACCTGGATAAACTGATAAATGCTTAAGTTTAATTTGAGAGTTACCTCTCTATAACGTAATTGAAAAATAATGGAATTGCCCTGGCTCGCCTATATACACTAAATATATAAATAAATAATAAATATATATAAAGTGCCTTCCAGTCAAACCTCTTTCTGTGGAGGCAGCATGTACAGTAGATGCTTTAGAATATGTAAGATGAAACGACTAATTAAACACTAGAAATTTAAAGTCCATACAAATGCATGCTAACCATAGGCACAAATGCTAACAAGTCACACGGCTCTGTCGGCAGAAGCCACATTTAGCATATGTAATACCAGTAGACAATTCTAATCACAGAATGGGTAAGCGTTTCAATTCAACTATATAACTCTACAGCAAGAAGAAAGGCAGGATATTGTTCATTCACGCTGGATGCATATAGGCGAGCTAGAGTGATTTCATTACTTTTTTTTATGCTTGTGAGGTAAATTTCAAAGAAAACTTAAGCATTTATTGATTTATCCAGGTAAGTATTCATAAACTACTCTATGTCACAATTATATGTCATAAATATATATTTGCCATTAGTTTCATAAATGACAAAGTCGGTTGAAAAAACGTCGCACACATGAGATATGGATTTCAGTGGAAAAGCTATTGCCTTGACAAGACAGTTTAGAAAACCTGCCTATACATGACCAAGAAGTGTTTTGGCGCAGCAGGAAAAGTTTTTCCCAGCCACGAGGTCAAGAGTTTAATCCCTCACTGTGCATTTTTCTTGTACAGGTACAGAGAGATACAGATATACTTTATTATCACAATAAAATGTGAGACTCGGTTCCTCGTTACAGTAACATTAAAAGCACAAGAAAATACAAAACATGGAAAACAAATCATATAAAAGAAGGACTGTTCAAACAATAAAAATGATAAAATTATTAGGATTTAGATTTATGATTTATTTATTTATTACATATTGCACTTTGGGTCAATTAAATTTGAATTAACTTAAATGATTGCTATTGCAAATAATATCTTGAGCATTATTAGAACTAGAATTGATAATTTATTTGTCCGTAATTAATTGCACTAAGATCGATTAAGAATATAATTAAAAGTTGAATTGTTTATTAATATGTAATTGTTATTGCAATTAAAGTCATGAGCAAACGTAACAAGTTTCAAAATAATTGAATAAACTATGTTAAAATATTAATATAAACTATATTTAGAAAGAAAAGGCAATTTTCTTTTCAATGGAATTTATTAACAGTCAAAATGAATTGAATTATGTCCTTGAGTAAGGTAGTTTCTTTACAATGTTTCTCTCCACCAAGGAAGATAAATGGGTACCAGGTGGGATTGCTTGCTCCTGTGCTGATTACAGCATATGGACCCAATGGCAAGGAATAGAAGCGCTCCCTATTTAAAATAAATGCACAATATAAATAACGAATGAAATTTAATTGTGACTGGACAGGACTTGTCAGAGACAGAAGACAGTTGACATTCGTAATATAAATGATAGCACACCAAACACTGGCCTTTTGAGCTGCTATTTTTTCATAGATAGACTAATAGTAAAAGTAAGTTTACCTGTTGTTGTAATACGTGTTGTTGTAGACATTGTTGATGTAGCAATTTCTGCAAAAATAAGTCAGTTTATAAAAATAAATGATTTCAAATAAATACAGATTTTTTTCTGATATTTCATACCTTTGACACTGGTTTTTTTCACATGACTTAAATATTGCATTTGTAGAGGATGATGGCTCAATTCATCTCAACATATGTTCCCTCTCATTTATATCAGAATTCAGAAACGTGTACAGTATATTGCTGTTTTAAATTTATATATACATATATATATATA